TTCACCGAGTTGTTTATAAGGAGCTGTTCACGCAAAAGAAAACGGTGAATGAACAGGCGCCACACAGAACGCGATAAATCTAGGGTACCCTGTAGAGCTTTCCTCAGTAAAATTACAGGTGCGGGTACTCATGCAAGTTCTGCTTCAGCGAAACATACTGCTATGGGTACTCAATGCAGTACCTACAACAGTCGGGTTACTGAGAATTTTCTAAGTACCCTTAATAGGTATCCTGGTGTGGCTTTCTTAGTATGTGGGTACCCTGAGCCCAGTACATTCCCTAGGGGTAGAATATTCAAATATTTGTGATATTGGGGGTATTTATGATATAAAAAAGGAAGAGGTACGTTATAGGAGTTTTTGGGAAAATGTGTGAAAACATATTAATAAGGTTTGTTTCTCGTTTGTAATATGCTGAAATGGTTTTTTTAATTGATGTAGAAATGTTAAAGAGGTACATAAATGTTTAATAAATACGTGATCTTTGAATAATTATAGTAAAGTTGGAAGCAGCTGTACAATAATCAAGTAGTTATGCAATCATTCAGTAGCTATAAGAAATAATTCAGTAGTTACAAGAAACCAATGAGATTCATTAAGTTAGTTATTGATCTTTTTTAAAAAGTATCTCTTTTGAGAAGCTACGTAGCAAGAGGTGTCCACAGGGCTGGACACAGGGAGAAATTTTGAAAAAATACTTTGCCCTGTACAGGACAGGACAGAACTATATCTTCATGCCCTGCAAATTCTGCATATACCTACTTTAGTTCGAAAATAACAACAATTTTATTTTTCTCGGAAACGTGAAAGAAATTAAAAAATCAGATGACGTTATTATATGGTCAATAGATTGTTATATTTTTGTTTGTATGATGACCGTATGAGGTCCAATCAGATTTGTAAGAAAACAAAAGAAAACAATAAACTAATCATAATAGTGATAAACAAGAAAAAAACAAGAATCAATTCTTTATTATTGTATAAACTAAAACTTACTCGACTTGTTGATCATTATCAAATTTTTTTCGTATCCATATCTTCATCTAACGAAGATGAAGATTGTTCAACGTTTAAATCTATAACCGATTGTTGTTTAATTTATGAATATAAGTACTAAACAGTAGAATAATATTCAAACTAAAAAATAAAGAAAATTAACTACAAGAAAGACTTGTTTTTTTGTTTTCATGAATTCATTGTTCCATAATATAATGATGTAAGAATTGAAAATTGTCATTGTGATGGATTTCGATAACCATTTGATGTTGTTGAATTAGTGTTTATCTTCTTTCATTTTGTGAAGGTGAAGAAGAAGAACAACATAAAAGATCAATTAGCGGTATAGTCAATACTACAAGATTTGCTTTTTTTGTCATTCTTAGGAATGCTTGTGATCTTTACGATCGATTGCATAGCAATCAATCAAAACCATCAAAGACAACTATATGTAGTGAGCGGGATATTAAATTTTAAAAATAGAAATGAAATTCATTTGATCTCGATTTCTTACCAACTGTCTAATTATTACCAATAACAAAAATGACTATAAATAGTAATGATTTTTAACGTTAGAAATCATTCCCCCTCTTTCTTCTTCTTCTTCTTCTTCTTTTTACATTATTATATTATATTTTTAATTTTTTAACTATTTTAGCTTGTATTCGTACTGATCATTGTTCAATATCACAGGTAAGTACTATAGTTTTTGTTTTTTTTATTGTTTTTCGTTGTTTCAGCTTTTTATCCCATTTGTTTATTATTATTTTAATTTTTACATGATAATAATTGTCTTTCTATTTTCATTTTAGTTTTAATTTTACTTTTCTATGTTCTATTTTAGTAATACAAAAAAAAGGAAGTATTCTTATGTATATTTATTACCTTCAACGGAGGCCTTCCATACATCGGTGTGAAACTGGCCAAGCCTACTTTGGTGCCCATAGCACGTACAGGCCACATATAGATCTATCTGTTGCATGTTCTATACACGTTAGATCTATGTCTGTACGTGACGAGCCTTGGGTCTCTATGGCACCACCAAGGTAGTTCTTGGTCGCGCGAGCAACTATTAGCTGGTAAGCAAAAAAAGAAAATTTTCATACCAATCAATTCATTTCTTTTCATTTAACAAATAAATAAAGAAAAGAAGAAGAAAAGAAACATATGACGTAATCTTATATTTTAGCTTTTTTCTTTTCTTTGAAGCGAAAGAATAAAAGAAAATTTCTTTTTTCTGTTCATTTATTTCAAAGTATAGAAAAAGAAACGAACAAAGAAAAAACAATTCACAAGTCTCATTCGATAGAAAATTGTTGAACACGATGATTATTATAATCGGCGACATAGAGATTACCATGTCGATCGAAAGACAAACCAGCGAGGACGTCAAACTGATTTGGTCCTGCTCCTGAACCGTTTCCACCCACAATTACAGTGCCTTGTTTTGCTCCTTGAGTCCAACGCATCACACGATTATTCCCCTGGTCTGCTACATAGAGTGTACCCAACGTATCAACGAAAATTCCTTCCGGAGCAGACAATTGTGTCAGAGCATTCCCTTCGCCTTGTCCTCCAGCGACCACAATACCTTCTTCTGCACCTTCCACCCATTTCATTACGCGATGATTATCTCTGTCTGATACGTACACTGAATGATCTCGATCGACAAAGAGATGTGTCGGAAAGTTGAGTTGACTGAGTCCATCACCTTTACCATTACCACCAGCTACGAGAGTGTAATTCTTACCCCGTTGATATCGTCTTACTTCATGTTTTACGACGTCGGAGACGTAGAGAGATCTATGTTCATCCATTGTCAATCCACAACAGGCGATTCTGTCGATAAGGATTTCTCCTTGTGTTGTACCACTACGACGAGACCATCGTACAATTCGTCCATTCCCTGCATCACAAATAATGAGACTATCCGTCTCTTTGTCAATTAATACAGCAGTTGGATGATTCAACTGATGTAATCCCTTTCCTTCGCCTTTACCACCAGCAACAACTTGTCCATTCGTTGTATCACCGTTCTTCCATCGCATGATACGATGATTCCCGTTTTCAGCAATAACCACTGTTTGATCATCATCAACGAAGAGACCAAGAGGCTGCTTGAATTGATTGGTGGCATTCCCACACCCGTTGCCTCCAGCAACAGTCACACCGTTCTGTGCCCATTTAGCATTAGCAGGAATGTTAACTAGAAGAGAAAACGTATAAGAATAAAAGGAGATCTCTGCCTATCTCTCTCTCGACTATAGCTAGTATATGAAATAATTTTGAAAGTATCGAGCAAAATTCTTTGAATAGATCTTTTTTTTTCTAGAAACTCCTTAGAATAAGTTTTTTCTATATTGGAAGATTATTTTATAGAATGAATATAGCATATCGTTCTCTCTAATGGTTTTTTCTTTGCAATTATATCATAGTGTCTTGTTATGTTTAAAATGAGATTTTTTGCATCAAAATAGTTCTATAGACATTTATCTTTTGCTTTGTTTTTTAGATGTTTATACATGCGAGTCTATGTTTTCTATGAACAGACGAACATATACAGTAAAACCTCTCTATAATGAACACTAACGGGACCCTTCAAAAAGTGTTCATTATATAGAGGTTTTGCATTAACTGAACTCTTGCATGTATACAGTTCATGTTTAGTAATACCGATTGGTGTCTACCACGCATCATGTGTATCAGAATTCACCACAAATAACTTAAAGCAAAAACAAATAGTATTTCTTTCATCTGTTGCACATATCTATTTAATTTCTATGATACTGTTGACTGAATTCATCTCGTAGGTTGCGCTTCTTAGTTGAACTTTGATTTTGTTCATAACTTTCAATATACTCGACCTTGTGCTTGATAATGTTCGATACACTGCCGATTGAGATCTTATATTTGTCAGCAAGTGAACGATACGAAAACTTCTCTTCATTTTCACGAATCAGCTGTATCTTTTCAGAGAGGGTTAATGTGTGTTTCGTTGTGTCATCACACAATCGTAAATAGAAAAGTACTTATTATTTCACATGTAAGTGATCATATTTACGCGGACTATTCATTTTCATTGTTCCTTTTGTTCTATACATACGACGAATTTTATTTCTCGTCAATAGACCGCCGATTAATTAGTGTAAAACTGTTTAAGAATACACGTTATGTTTTTTTTAATTTTCATCTCTTTTTTCTCTTGTTGCACACACAAACTTATAAATTGTTGTGTGTGCGTTCATTTTATAGAGGTTCATTTACAGCAAAAATTGATCTGGGGGGAGGGGCGAGNCCCCCCCCCGGCCGAGATACACGTTCAAATAGGAGGTGTTCACTTATAGAGGTTTTACTGTAATATATAACAATCTATTTCTTATATATGCGACTCACATACGAATATTAGAAATTTGTTAATGCACAATTTCAATGTTTTCCGTATATGAGCTTATTATGCGTACGTTGTATTATTTTCCTATGATCAAAATATATGTTTGCTAGAATCTTTTTCGTTTTCTCTTAAATAGAACATTTCTTACTTCTAGAAGTGCCAAGAAGTACGTTCCTCGTAAAGGACGAGATTAGATAGAGGTTATATGAACCACTGGACGTCCGCTCATAACCCATAGAACTAATGGACATCCTTGTATATGACGACACATAATCACCCACTGAACAATACGTAATCGTTCCCTATATCCTTTTCTTTCTCTATATCTTTTTGTCTCTATATATGTTCTCTCTCTAGTATATAAACTCGCGTTATATGTGAAATAGACAACAGTATAAGAAGAGTAATATTAGAGCACTAGAAAGGCCGTTGAGTCGAGTTCACTTCTAAACAAGTCAAGTTCCAAGAAGATCGTGTGAAATTGTTGTTAATATTATATACACAGTGGCTAAAATATATAGCTGATATTGATCTACACTTTGTTGTCCATCATCCTATATCAGGATATATACGCAATTATATATATATATATATATATATATATATATATATATATATATATTTATTTGAAGAATATTTACGCGACCTAAATATTTTCAGTTAGAGTTTGANAAACGTCAGTATATTTGTCTTGTCTAGTCTCAAACGTCAGTATATTTGTCTTGTCTAGTCTCAAACGTCAGTATATTTGTCTTGTCTAGTCTCAAACGTCAGTATATTTGTCTTGTCTAGTCCACCTATAAGACAACGTCCTTCCAATAAATTTGGACTAGTCAGCCATTTCAGAAAATTCTGCTAGAACTTTGCTTGTATTGAACAGCACAATTCTTGAATTCTGTTAGGTGAGAATTCTGCCACTGCTGGTTTGTTCACGTTTGAACTAATTTATGGAATCTAAAATAACTGCTATCATATTTGGTCCATTTTATCGAGAAAATAGATTCATTGCTTATAAGAAAACAAGCACATGTGTTGAAGTGAAACGAAATGTCGAGGTGCACTATTTGTCATTTATAGTAATGTTATGAATTTAATAATATATAGAATTAAAAAAGATGATCTGACTGATAATAAAGTGCAATACTACTAATATAATTGAATTTTAAAATTCACAACAAATCTAATTTGATAATGTGTAACTTTCACTGACGAAAAAAGTATGCAAATAATTATTTTCTATATTAGTGCACAACTCAAGCAGTATAATCAGAGTTTAATAACTATAAATGATAGTATCATAGCATTGAGAAGACTTTTTTTGTTGATTCATGTTATTTGCCTTACCCTGTATCCGAAACATTATATGATACCAGTCCGAACGATATCGCAACCAATGTTCGATTTTTTTTTAAAGAAGATATAACTTTTTATCATTCTATAACCATATCAGGTGTCTTACTGAAAACTACTGTCATGACTCTGTGAAAACTAGTCAGTGATAGTTGTATTACGTTTCAATTTGCTGACGATCAAATACGTTATGGACTTATTAGAGCTATCATTAAGTCGATAAAGAACGTTGTTCGTTTATTTATCGAAGAACTCGTAAAACAAAAAGCAGAAGAATCAAAATTCAATTTTAAAATAAACGATGTACAGTATCATGTGCCAAATATACATCGACTATGCGACGTTCAAACATTTTTCATTTGAAACATCCGAAATGGATTTTAACAAAAGAATGCTGCTATATGTAAACCTAGTAATCAGATCATTGTTTTAGAATATCCTAACTTGAAAGACGGTAGCTAAATAAACAATTCGTTTTATAATTTAAATAGTATCTAATTCTTAAAAGTAATTTTCTTAATCTACTCTTGTGCATGCCTAGCTCAATTCAGTTGAAAAATTAAATCTTTTGATATTGGTAAATATTTCTTATTACAGTCTATTTGTGTACAATTTTTTATATCAACTCACGAAAAATATTGAATTATTTCTAATTACCAGACATTGAAAGCAGCGTTAAAAACGCCTAAATTGCTTAGCCATTAGCTTCCACATAATCTGGCTCAACTGGTTGACACAATAGGTATGTAACGCAAAGTACGTACATTCGAACCTAACCTTTATATATGCATTTCTATCATTTAGACTAGTCTGGACGTCACAACTTGTTTCAAGAAGATGGATTTAAGACGGTATGGATGACTAGTGTGAGATATACTGACTGTGAACATGATTCCAATATCGAATTTTTGGAGAATTCGGACGATCGTCAGAACTATTCTTCATGATTAGTGTTTTTCCCAAAAAGTTCTACTACAGGACTAGTCACATACTAGGACTTTTTGAGAAAAAGACTACACTGGACGCTCCGACATGACTAAATATGCGATTAGTCTTTTTACCCGTCCTTTGCTCACCTGGGCTATTTAGAAAATCGCTCGTTTCTTACTTAATAGAATATGTTTGACTTATAATTAATGGACCAATAGAAATATATTGGAATGAGGAATAATTCTCATTTAAATAAAGTATAAAATAACTTCATGAAATATTATATGTAATTTATACAAAAATGATTCAATCGCAAACATGTAGCACAGTATACGTAATTCTGATTCTGAAAATGGTGTATGTAAACTCAACCTTCTAGCAACACATTGAAGCAGTTAAAAGAATTTAAAGTTGTCTTATTTTTCTATAGTGAATAAATGGTCCAAAGAACGAAAAATCCTACTCTGATCAAAAAAATTATCATATTGAATTGATGCATACAATTGGGTTAAACTGAACAAAGACGTTATATCTATATTATGAATGGTGATACAACGAGATATATTATTTGTCTGCTCTAACAATGCTGAAGTCCATCATTCATGAAAACTTATATATGCAAACACATTATTGGTATGTTCATTAGATTAAAATGTTGGAAACCTCCACCTGAAAAAAACAAGTGGAGATCGGTACAGTAGTCACTTATATATGTTTTTGTTTTTTTTCTTGTCAATTGTAAATAAAAATAATGTAGTTTTTCTCTTTTTAGTTGCTCATTTAATATTATAACATTATTCAAATTAAGTTTTCTTATTGCTCGATAGTTATACTGCTAAGTCATATTTATTTTATTGTTCATTCCAAAAATTTTATCGCTGACACAAATACAAGTCAATATCTTTTATTAAATTCTATATAAATTATTCTGTGGCATTAGCAGGAATATTCACTAGAAGAGAAAACGTAAGAATAAAAGGAGATCTCTCTTTCTCTCTCGAGTACAGCTAGTATATGAAATAATTTTGAAAGTTTCGAGCAAAATTCTTTGAATAGGTCACCTTTTTTTAGAAATTCAAGAAAATTCCCCACCAAAAGGAGTTTTTTCTACATTGGAAGATCATTCTATAGAAAGAAAATTCTCTTATGACGATGATAAGTCTACAATGAGTAGAATAAAATAAATAACTTGAATGCAATGGCAATGAAAACATTTCCGAGAGTTTTCTATCATCTCATATAGATAGATATTATTAACTATTTTGTACTCCTGAAGAATATATTTGAATATTTTATCGGCATGTACGCTTTCGAAGACACTTTTTCTTATACTATATTCAGGAGATTATACGAACGTAACACTCGCAAATTATTCTTCAACATATTCACCATATTGATAAATATAACACAATAGAAAATTTCAAGTTCTATCAGAATCTATAGTGATAAAAAATGATGTCTGTCAAAATTTTCAGATTATAATATTAAGTTGAGATGAATACAGATCTTAATAGAAATCGAAGAAGATTCTCCAAAAGTTAGAAAACTTCAACAGAATTCAACTATTCAAAGAGAAAAGATCCAAGAAAAATGTATTTCTACTAGAATATTCTTTACAAGGAAATCCCTCCCAATTCTCAATAAATCTGACTCAGATTCATTGCAGACACACAAATACATATGTCTTGAAGACCTGTTTATTAATGATGTTTGACACTGAATCAGAATCGATTAGTTTCAGATGATTTTCAAGAAAGGAAGGCAAAAAGCAGCAACAAAATAAAATTACTGTTCTGTTTAGATATGTACGGAACTGCAAAATATATCGTTAATTTCATATTTCAACAGAAATGTTCAGTATGAAATATTCTTTTGTTTTGTGTCATCAATATGATAATCATGTACATCTAATGAAGTTTTTTTGATATTTTTGAACGAAATACAATTCCTTTTAAATAAAATATAGTCTGATTTATATTTCTATGTTAACTTAAAAACAAATAAAAGTATCTATTTAAATTATAAATAGACAGAAAACTAGTTATGTGAAATAGGAAAATAGCACGCTTGAATAAGCTCAGCACTTGGCATTTGTAAATGTTTATGTGAGTTCTAATTCAACTATATCAGTTAACATAATGAACGATTCGTATTCATTAAAAATGCTTAATTGTCTGATGCTTTTACTTGTATGAGTTATTCTCACTAAATTTCTCTATCTATCTATTCAATTTCATATATGTCACTAATGTTCATTGTAGTTTTAAGTTGATTTATACAAATTTTGTTTTTCGAAATTTCTTTACAAAACGAAAAGCTTTATTGTCTGTCCACACACTATCCATATAGTCGATTACATAGTTTTGATCTTTTTTTTTCATTTTATTAATTCAACAGATAGATAATGAATTTTAAAGTGACGGTAAAGTATATAAAATTCTCAATATCGCTTTAATTAGAAGGTTAAGGTAAATGTATAATCAATAAGATGTTTTCCTTCATGAGCTATACTCTGACGATATGAGTCATTCTTCAATTTTCTTCTTCTATGCAGGTTAAATTTTAAAAATACTCTATACGTTTTTTTTCGTTTGGTGCTATTCAATGAGTAGCAAATTCCTACAATATAATAACATGCGTTAGTTCAGATAATAGAATCTTTCGAATCATTCTCTATACAAGACTAAACCTAAGAAGAATACTGGCTAGTATTTTAGATGAGAATCGCTGAATCAAAAAAAATTTCTCATTTAACCTTTTTTTATTCAGATAATTACGTTGAGTTTGCTATTTCAGAAAATGTATCTACTGATAGATTTTTAAAATTAATTTCTTATAGATAGTATATTTGTATTAGACTGAATGCATAAGATTATCTTCATCGGTATCTATCTATTGCTGATATATACATGGCTATAAACTCATATAATCAGCATTGGATGCGGGTGCTACTCTGGAATTTATTTCGGTTTCGATCATCGAAATTTTTCAAATATTTTGAATTATATTCGATAAAGTAGTATAGACATACGCTTTCGAAATTAACAAAAATAACTGGTACAATAGATATTTTCCATCATATTACAGTCAATTAATGTGCTTGTAGATCGTTGATGTATGTATTTTTCTTTGCCTTTTAGATTAGATTGAAATGGTTTATCATATTTGATAATGAATATCTTCTACAAATAACTGGTCTATCGAACTCTAGATTTCATATTTATGCTTAGGTTATTGAAATTTTTCATGAAGGACTTAAAGAAGCATCCTCAGGATTCATGACTCATGCATTAATACGATCATCATCTCAAACTTTCTTAAAAAGTAATATTAGCAATGAAGAGTACGATTTCAATATCAAACTGTCGATAAGAAACGGTAAATCTAGTCTCTTTTACAAAAATGACTTGAAACGACCAGCACATCTGTTGATTGACTAAGAAATTTATATACAAATATAATGAGTTGAAACACAATCATAAAAAATGACAACAAATTGGTTCACGCTATTTAAGATCAATAGCTATCGTTTTAATATGTTATCTCTTTTTGTAATCCAACTCTGATATATGCAATTGTGAAAATGACTATACATAGATAGTTTGCAGACTATGATCAAATAACATTTATCAATATATAAGTTTGTCACCGCTCCTGAAAACATTACTAGATACAAAAAACTATTCGAATAGACTTAATATACGTATTTGACTGATCATGATACTAACATGTCAAAAATCAAATTTCGTATTGTGAAATATACTCCAATTTAAGATGCTTTCTAAGTACTCTATCTTCTCAATATAGCTTCGATCTTTTTTCTCTCATCATCTATTACTTCAATTGTTATTAATCATTTTTCTAACTCGTTCACAATATATAGATCTCTATCAATTTATAAATAGAAAATATTCCTTTATATTTCTATATCAGATCAATCAACCAACAACAAATAGTATGCCTGATATATCTTAAAAATGAAAATAGCGGTGGAACATATTGAACTATTAGATTTCCTGTTTACGATAAAGAATTAAAATAATTANATCAGCATGTGTTCACAGGTTCGATTTCTTAACTGAGTATGTCCATAACAAAGGGAAAAAATAATATGATTTAGAGAAATTGATATGAACCGTACTTCGAGGCAAACATATCCTGCATATATAATTGCTCTCTCACTATAGTGAGAGAACACTTGAAAAGATGAACTCTTTGATTACTGCTCAAGAATATAAGATATAATTAAACTATAGTTGTATGTTAAATAACATTTAAAACTCAATAGACTAATTTTATAACGTTATCAACAGAGTTGCTCATGTCTCAACGTAATAAAAACTCAATTATAGATCCTTTTGGATACTTGTCATATTATTCTGGTATATTTGTTTGATAGAAGAGGCACAAAAAATTTTCATTCATAATCATTCCTGAACAAAACGCTACTCTATACTGATCTTGGAAAA